TCCATGTATTAACCCGAGCCTGGCCTGATTTGGAGTGGGTTTTAAGAGGCAATATAGTCTGCAAGTTCAGGGCAGACTGAACTCCTGAGAGTGATTAGGATTAATTTAAGATGCTTTTGTCTCTGCTGCATTGCCTTTGTCAAGTCAGCGAAGCAAAAATAAAATAAAATAACGACATACAGTCCTCATATAGTGACCACATTTGGGACAGCTTAGTTAAGTGTAATGATTGCTAAGTGAAATTGCAATTGTGCTTATGATTTTACTTCAGCTTTCCTTTGTTTTACAGACCTGATTACAAAGTTACTTTTTCATCACCTCTGGAAGTGCAAATGGTTGTTAAATGAGGCTGTCACCAAATGAGGAAACCTGTATCCTTCCATCTCATCTTCTGATAAAGCAGTGGTTCTCAACCTTTCTAATGCCGCGACCCCATAATACAGTTCCCCATGTTGTGGTGACCCCCAACCACTTATACATCACCAGGTGCCAGGGGCATGGCCAAAGAAAAGGGGGGAAAAATGGCGGACAGCCTTGTTTGGCGACCCCCGTGAAATGGTCGTTCAACCCCAAATGGGGTCCCGACCCACAGGTTGAGAACCACTGTGATAAAGGCTATACCAGACAGCAAAATATACACAATTATATCACTCTATTGCTTCATACAAGGTGTTGCAATACATTTACTGAACAAAAAGTAACCATTCCCCCCCCCCTTTTCTTTCTTACACAGTGGTGAGGTGTTCTGAACCATTTAAAGAACAAACTTTGGGGTTTCACTTCATACCAATTTGGAAACATTAGCAGTAATCTAACTCTACCAAAAGGAGATTCATTATGAAGAACTATATGTATATTCTTTGATAATTAAAAAAGTATTGTGCAGTGTAGATTCAGTGGAATGTTTTTTAAAATAATTTGCCACAATTTTCCAGTTGTCCAATTTGTCAGGCTCAATGCGTAAAAACTGTTATTAAATTCTCTTGGTTTTAAAGTGAAAGAGTTAAATATTTGTGTACATTTTCAGTGCTGAAATCAGCTAGATGTTAAAGTATTGAGACTTTCCCATTTCATGCCTATCATTTACAGCATATTAACATAATTAAGGAGTGCCACTTTAATTTCATCCTGTGATTCTCTGATGACCCTACTAACAAAAATTGCTTATGTAAACATGCTGAACAAGACAGCTCAGGAATCATCAAGGCTTAAGACATTTGAAAGAGTCCTAAAAGGACCCCATGGTTTAAGACATGCTACAGTACCACTCCCAACTTGTGCTTATCCTTCTCCTCTTTTGTGTGACAATCTGCATAAACACCTATTATTTTGGGATCTTTTCCCTGCAAATATTTTGATATTTTGGTTATAGAACTAAGTGCTCCCTGCTCAGTTGATGCAGTGCCTGGCCTCTCCCCTTCTCAGGTAGACACCCAACAAGGAAGATAAATATGACTAAACTCTATATGTGTCAATTTTACTAATAACTGAAATTCTGCCTGACCGGTTTTAAAGATAACCATAAACTGGGTAATCTGGGCCAGTCCCTTTCTCTCAGCCCAATTCACCTCACAGGGTGGTTGTTGTGAGGAAAATAGGAGGAGGAAGGTGTGTTGCATATGTTCACTGCTTTGACTTATTTGTATAAATAATAAAGGCAGGATACAAACAAATAAGATGGAAGAAGCCCTAAACTTGCTATATGTAGCTAGAAAGCAGTCATACTAGTCCACTGGCAAGAGCCAAGATATATTTTGTTTTAATTTATAAAACACCCTCAACTCCAGGCATCTGTACATTTTCTTAGCAATGTTTTTCACAACAGATTTGCCTCTGTGTAGTGCTGAGAGTGGCTCAAAGTCAGCCAACTGGCTCCATGTCTAAGACAGAACTCACACTCCTTCTTTAGCCTGGCGCTCCTTACCAATGTTATGCATTTCTCTTTATTTTCTGATACATTTCCTCTTTCTTGGGGGGGTGGGGGAAACACAACTCCCAACCTTCTGGGAAAATTCTGTCCCATTCTAATCCACGGGGAAATCTTTTCTGCAAGCAATGTGGGCAGGAGCTTGCGCAAGCTTGAAGAACTAGTCTAAGTAAGTTTGCTGTAAAAGCTCTGCTCCAGAATATAATATAATTGGATAGAGAACAAGATGATTCCAACTGATAGAAAAAGGAATGGTGACATCACTCGGCTTATACTGCCTCACACAGGACCAATTAGGATTTTAAGTATGGTGTCATAACATTGTCCACTAAGTTTTAAAACCTGTGTGCCATTCTATCATTTTACCATGCTTTAAAAACCAACAAAAAGGCAGATACTTAGAACATGCATAGTTAATTGTTTATAACCATGGTTACTGAACACATCCAACCATATGGCTGAAAGTATTTCCAAGGATTTCCTTTACAATCCGACACGCCTCGGTTTTTTTTTTTTTTCAATTTTTCACAAGGAAGAATAACATTTGTCTCCTGTAGTTCCCAATATTGTTTTTCCACCTGAGAACATATGCTCAGAGATAGATGACCTACAGTAGAACTATCTGTGCCCTGGAGCAACAACTGCTTCACTTATGGTTTTAATGTTCAAGGCATGCTTACACTGCATTTTCAAATATAAGGGATATATATTCTTTGAAGAAATTTAGAAGGTGCTTTAAAGGATGTGTTATTTTGGATAACCCAGCTCCTGCATTGAGCATATTTTCAGAGATAATATGCAATTATAGTCTTTGGAGTAGAATATGAACACTTGGCTGCAACAGCTTTCTTGTGTTTATAATTAATCTGGAATTTTGTTCTCCCTCTCCAAGCTGCATGTGATCCCTGCTCCATCACTCACGCCACCAAGTTTCCATGAGGAAGCAATTTCTGAGAATAATTTGTTGCTTAAAAGATTCATTTGGTTTTATCAAGAAAAATAGCAGCACGGTAGGTTTTTTTCCCCCATCAATTCAGAAGAGAAAAGGAAATTGAATCACAGCCTATCCAGCTAAGTAACCATTTTCCATAGCAGCCAACCAGCCAGATGTCCGTAGGAAACCGACAGACACTGACCTAAAGAAGCCGCTCATCTAGTGTATTCTTTTACTATAGATGCAGCTTCTAAACCTGGAGGCAGCATGTGTTCCTTGCAGATAGCTGTAGTCTCCATGAGTCTGTCAATCTCCTTTTAAAAGTGGGTTTAATCTTTTCCCACCCCAAAATAAAAAATATGATTTAGGATTGGGGCACTTGATAAATGTGCTCCATCCTTAACACTAAATTGTTGCTTTAATGATACAACAATAATTAGATCATGGTAACTTTTTATTTAATAGGATAAACGACACTTATTAACTTTTATTTTTTATTATTTTTGTGATTATAACTTTTTAGTATTATTTTAATTACTGTTATTTAACATTTGTACCCGGATGATAGTCTGCTTACTAAAGCGATGAATTACTGTTGGGGGTAACCCCACTATTGTATCTTTCCCTACCCTTATCCCAACCTCCCTCCCCAACCCCATCCAACACCCTTACCCACCCTTATAAAATCTAATAAAGTATTTATAAAAAAACAACAATCATTAGATCACTTCCAACACTCAAACCTATGATCATATTTTGACACTAGTTTAACTAACAATAACACCCTGGACAGTAATGCAAAATTCTTGAACGTTTCTAAGATAGTGCTGATCACTAACTGAATTTTCCATCTTTTTTCTTCATGGTCCAAAACAGTGGTTCTCAACCTGTGGGTCGGGACCCCATTTGGGGTTGAACGACCATTTCACGGGGGTCGCCAAACAACGCAGTCCACCATTCCCCCTTTTCCTTAGCTGTGCTACTCCCTTTTATTCCATTGGCTTTTGAAAGCCAATAGAATAGACTCTCTTGAATAGAGTCTAATTCTATTGGCTTTCAAAAGCCAATAGGAATTGTCCAGGCTGTCTCTGCCCTGCTGAGCCCGCCAAAAGTCCCATTCTTCAAACAGTGCTGCACCAGTTGAGTAGTCCTCGACTTACGACCGGTTGAGTAGTCCTCGACTTACGACTGGTTGGGGGGGGGTCGCGGCATTAAAAAGGTTGAGAACCACTGGTCCAAAAGTAATGCCAAGTCTAACTCCTTGGAGTAATTCAAACAGAAATGTGTTCTTTGAATATGTGGTACTGGGACTTCCGGTTTGCCAAGGCAGCCAGTATGGACATCTGGAAGGCAAGCTGTCTTCTGCGTTCAGTTACGCTTCGTTGGGGGACCCTGGAAAGGGTTGAAAGTCACCCTATAGGGGCGACCAGCAAGGAGGGGATCCCCGTTGGATCGTGGGAAGGCGGTAGCTCTTCTGCTGGATCCAGGGCAGCCCTCCAAACCAGCAGATGAAAGATCGGCCACAGCAATATGGCTCATCATTAGGCTGCAGACAGCCTAAGTCACACTTACCATCAGGCAATTTTAAGGCAGCGCGGACAAGATTGGGTGAGATCTACCTCTCTTAAATCCTAACTATTTTCTTTACCTGCATAAGCTGCCTTAAGTACTTTCCCTCCTGTGGGGAGGGGAGATTTTACCCCTCCCTCTAGAAACAGCGGCGACTGACTATCCAGGGGAGTTTAAAACGTTGAAAGAACAACTTGATCCTAACTGGAATTCTATTTTTTAAAGTTTGTGGACTAAAAGATCTATGCTTATTGAAGACTGGGGTTTTTACTTATAAGAAAGAAGCAAAACTGAAAAGATAAAAACTTCTGATTCAAGGGTAGGAGTGACATCTTGTGGCTAAACCTGATAATACAATTTGTTATTGCCTGAATATGCGGTACTTCATGTGGATTGTCTATCCACACTTGGAACAATTTTAAGTCATGGAAGTGAAAATTACCAATCTTTCAGTATATCCATTCCAGATAAATCTTTTACTACAACATTCTGTAGGCCCATTTCTGTCATTTCAAAATATACCTCTGATAAAAATGCAGCCTACTGTTTTGACCCAAGAAGAAACAGACATATAGACCAATTTTTTCTCTCTTTATAATCAGTATCTTTTGGGACATGGCAAAGAAAATATTGGATATAAGATTTCAAAAGGGTATCTGGTTGGGAAAACACAAACCACAAACACAATGCCACTTGGTGAAATATCAAACAAAGCTTCTCATCACTTTTATTCAGGGATACCTGTTAGTATCTTCCCATGTTCTTTTCACGCTAAAGTTATCCTATAAAGTTCATGGTTTCCCACAGAGAACTTTTTAATTCCCCTGATATTGCCTCTTTTTCTGCTGCCTTTTCTTGCTGCTCTTGAAGGCCAGGGAAGTCAGGGGAAGCAGTTCATGTGAGTTTGGGCTGATTCTTGCTTCTCAGCCAGCAGTACAAAGAGTGGGGCAAACAGAAAGGAAACAGCATGGTTTCTCATTTAACCAAATACTGATTCAGTTATCATTCGAAGCTGCAGTGGTGCTGAACAAGGGGGACTTATGTGCCATTCATTCAAGTTTCAACTATCACACCTGTCACACGATCACAATTTGGGTGCTTGACAATTAGTCTGCACTTACAAAGGTTGTAGCCATTTGCAATCTTCCCTGCTGGCTTCATAGAAGTCAATGGGGAAGCTTGGGGGGGGAGGAGTTGTAAGTCGCTTTGGTAAATCACACATTGTGCTTTATGACCACAATTCTGGTCTCAATTTCCATCATAACCCAAGGCCTACCTGTAAAAGGATTTAAGTGAATAGTGCTGACTGCAAGTTTCTTTTTTTAAAAAAAGTTAGTTGTTTCTCTATATCAATGGGCATAGTTCAATTTCTGTTAAAAATTTCAAAGGCCAGAGATTATTTGTATCCATTCAACAAAACTATTCTGTATACATTATTTCAGCATGTTCTGTAATGGAACAACATTGCATCATATCTGCTAAATGTTGCTGCAAGAAAAGATATTTGAAAATTCTCTTCATAAAATTAAATTGATAGCAATTCAATTAATCCAATTAGAGTTTTCTTTGGAGAGGGGAGACTCACTGTTACTCATTTCAAGCAATCATACTACTTTTTTGATAAGTAATTTCAAAACAGTTTATAGTATTATTGAAATAAAACTATAACCATTTAACAGGGCAATGTTAAAACTAAGATCAGTTTCAAAAACAAAATATTGAAAAAAAAACCTATTCCAAGGAAAATAAACAGAATTTCTTGATCTTAATGATCAGACAAAAATCTAGTTTAAAAATTAATGTTCTTGAAGTCCAAACATGAGGCAAACCATTCAAAAAAACTCTCTGTTCTTAATCGTCTGGCTCTTCTTTAATTTTCTTCTTTTTCTTTTTCTTCTTTTCTGTATTCTGAAACATAAGCATTGTCACATCATTTCATTGTGATAAATAAAAAATATAATATCTATACTGTAGATAATATTTTAAAAAATAGATTTTTTTCTGTATGAAAAATATGCATAGCACTTCATGGTTTGATTTTGTTTCCTTAAGATAATATCTTTGGATAGCGAAGCTTTACAGAACTGTAGGAATCCATGATTAACATTGATGTAATGTTAATGAAATGAGTCAATGGAACTGAACAATAGAGTATAAAAGCTTTTTATCTCCAAGCATCTTAGTGGAATAGTTCAACTTCCACAGTTTAGACAGAGGCTACCAGACTTAAGACTAGTCAGTGGCGGCGAACCTTTTAGAGACCGAGTGCCCAAACTGCAACCTAAAACCCACTTATGTATTGTCGGGTGCCAGGTGGGCATGGTCCTCTGGGTGGGTGTGGCTGTAGTGGTAATGGTAGACTGGGTGGGACTAAAAAGTTCAATCAATCAATTCCAACTTTGCAAGATCTTTTTTTCCCCTGCGAGAAGTTGAAATTGATTGATTGATTGAACCTTTTTTTTGTGCACACGGCGGTGGACGCCTAAAGCAAAAAGGTTTTATAAAACCCAGCTGAAGGCCTAGGACTGGGGCGACGGGGCGCGTGCCCACAGAGAGGGCTCTGCATGTCACCTGTGGCACGCATGCCATAGGTTCGCCACCACAGGACTAGGTACTTTGGAATTTTAAATGGAGAGAACATAACCAAAGATTAGATATGAAAACCCCCTTTAAGCATATTAGTGGCAGAAGCTAACCGGGATTTCTTTAATAATGGTGAGTGAAGAGACTTACCTGTTTTTGCAAAGGCAATTTTCTACTAATTAAAAAAAATATTCATTCCTTTCTATAACACTAGTTTATAAATGATCAATAAATAACATTTAAAATACTTTTTAAAAAAGGAGAGAAGGCTACCAATAGAACACCAACTCGGAGGCTTTGCCTATTGGTTTACAACTTTTCTTTTTTTGCAATCACATTCTGCAGCAACTATAACTCGGAAAATTCTAAGCAAAGGAGAAGATTCAAAAGCTAGAAAACTTGCTTAGAATTTTCCGAGTTATAGTTGCTGCAGAATCTGGTGCCTTCCCACCCCCACCTGTGCCTTTGATTCTTGGTGACTTCCTGAACAAGACCATGCCATTTTCTTGGCAATATTTTTCAGAAATGGTTTACCATTGCAACCTCCTTCCTAGCACTGACACAGTGACTGACCCAAGGTCACACAGCTGCCTTTATACCTAAGGCAGCACTGGATCTCATGGTCTCCCACTTTTTTGCCCAGGGCCTTTAACTACTGTACTAAACTGGGTAAAAACCTTCCCCCCCCCCCTCTATCTGATATTCCACATTCTTCTAGGATAGAGATGTTTGGGATGAGACTGTTAATCTACTCTCACCTTAAATCAAATATATATGGTTCCAATGAGTCTACATTTAGCTAAACAAATGGGAGCTTTTTTTTTTTTTAAATCAGGCCAGGTGCATACATAAATACTAAAGATGGCTTTGTTAAGGCAGCCAGATTTGTTACACCAGAAAATATATAGCATTACTAACATTCAAGGTGTGAAGCAGATACAGTGAACAATTCTAGAGGGCAGCAAGATGGGAAAGGCTATTCTGAATGTCCTACCTCTACCACCATACTGGTCGATGGCTCTTCTACCCAAACAGACGTTTCTTGAGTTTTCTGTTTTTTCTTTTTCTTTTTCTTCTCTTTAACATGTTCCTCCTCTTGTTCGACTTGCTCATCCTCATCCTGTTCGTCTTGTGTCATGCAGGGAAAATATTACAAATACAAGTTAAACAAAGTAGAAATGCTAGGAATTAGCCAAAGCTGCTAGTGGGCATTTTTGAAAATTGGGAGCATGCTGCTGGCCATGATCCATTCCTGACACATCAAGGAATAGTTATGGATTATCACAAACCCATATATTGAAAAACAAGCTGATAGAGATGTTTTCTGCAACTTCATTTAACACTTTAGACATAACTTGCTTTATTATTCTGGAAACATTTGCTGCCTACCTAGGTGAACAATTTCCAAACTGAGCACCTTAAGTAGCCACCCAGTGCTATTTTCTATGGATGTCCTTGGGGAGGAAGAGATGTGATGAGAAGGCATTCCACTGAAGGTTCCAGACCTAAAGCATTTACACTTATGGAACTCAACTGGAAGAAGTCATTGAGGAATGTTTCAGACTGCCTGTAATGTAAACTGTAGTATACCTGTAAGATACCATGTTTGGTGTTATCATGCACCATCATACAGTGTTATAGTTATTCATAAAAATGTGTTTCCTCTTTGAATGATTCAAAAGAAAGAGTATTTTTAATACCCAAACAATTAAACTAAACATCTTGTCAAATAACTGACAAAATCTAAAACAGAAAGTCTTAGAGAATTTTTTGCTAAAGATTGATCTTTGGAAGTCCTTCAAGACCTTTTCTACTGTGGAGGTGGAAGTAAAAAGGATGGGGATCGTGACAGATTTCCGGTTTGCGCTCATAGCGCATGGCCACGTGGCAGCGGATCTCCGCTCCCCATGGCTAATTTTGCCCTGTCTGGGGGACCCTAGATGGGTCCGAAATCGCCCTGGAGAGGTGACCGCGAAGGAGGGGTGCCCCGCTGATCATGAAGCGATGGCAATCGCTTTGTTTCATCCAGGGAAAAGCCCTCTGAACCCGACAGGAGAAAGACACATGCCAGCGTCTAACTCAAGCTACTGCAGCCAATGTCCAAGAGCACTACCAAGAACAACAGTGAACAGCATGCTTGGAAATGGTGAGAGTATTTGATCTTCTCTCCCTTATTTTACAACCAGTCCCTGGGAAAGACCCCCAAAGCAAATAACCTCCAAAAATGAGGGGAGGGGATTACATTCTCATTCCCCCATAGATGGAAGTGGCGAATTAACCTTTAAGGAGAAAAGAACTTTATTGAAATTAAATTCAAAATACTATAATCTGATCAAATTTAGAAACTAAAATAAACTGCTAAGATTATATTCTAAAGGATTTTGATTGAACTACATAGAAAAAGAAAAAAGTAATAACTTTTTGTCTGAAAGAGCTGGAAATAAATATTTGCTGACATCTAGTGGACAAGGAGAGTATAGCATACTAAAGACAAGGCCCAGAAACAAAGAATAACAAATCTGTTCCCATGAAGTCTAATAACCTTCAAGAAGATAGTTGCTAAGGAACAGAGAAGAAATTGTATACCAGGCCGGCTACAAGATTGGAAAGTGTTTAAAGGAAAAGAAATGTTCTGATTGTGGTTTAAATTTATGAACTGTTTAAAAACTTTGATCTATGATAAAGTATTGGGAAGGGAAGCTACAGGAAGGATTTAAGCTGGTTAATTATACTGAATTGACAATTATCTCCTGAAAGAAAAGAATTGTTACAAAACATTGACTTTACTGAAACTTTGACAACTGAAAATTACAGTGGATTACAAAAATTATATATAGCAACAAGAATTATACAAAACTGGACTGTATGAATGTTGAGTTTTGGTTAGCTGGACAAGGCTAACTACAGAGACTATGGCATTTATGATGGACTACTCGAAAGGGGGAGACAACATGGATATGACACACTCATCAAAAAATGATAGAAAACCACACCTAATATCTATTCCTGAAAAATTTAGCTTGAAAGATCAAAGACCTTTAGAAACACTTCAAGACAAGATACTTTCCAAGACAAAATTTATGTAATGCTACGACAGATACAAACAACTAATTTTGATACTATAAGTGAATATACTTTTAACTTAAATCTACAATCAAAAAATATTCAAAGAATGATGGTAAAGAATGAACAATCCAGACAACAGAATGTGAACTAGAAAAAAATGATCTGACTGGTGAAATTACAGCTGAAGAGAATTATACTTTAATACAAACAAGAAAAAACTACAAGACTTGTACACAACGATAAATATGGAAAAGATACCTTACGCATTAGAATGTCAAAACAAACCTGAGAAGAAAGAAGACTTAATAAAATGGACACTGCTAGGAGAATCATTGTTTGGGAGACAAAAAGCACACATCTTATCTACTATGCATCCTCTACTCCTAACAATAACTACAAAAATACAAGAACTGAACAAGCTGAAAATATTAATTTGGAAAACAATCTGGCAAAGGAAGATTAAAGATGGGCTGAAGAGACTGGATTTGCCCTACTATGTGGAATATTGTATGAGTAAACACCTCTTTGAATATGGCTAAATAAATAAATAACTTTGGTTATAAAGGGACTTTAGAATAAGTGGGATAAGAGATATAAATAATATAGTATTTTTCAGATAAGATAAAAAATGTAAAAATATAAGGATGTTCTAGGTCAGCGGTTCTTAACCTTTTTGAACGAATCGCCCCCTTGAGCCAATGCAGAAGTTGTCATTGCCCCTCTCCCCCAACATAACCTCTCAATCACAACATAGAAAATAATTCTTCAATTTATGCAAACACTTTTTTTCCTTTAAAATTGTCATCAGGACATATCGATGCAAATAATTTATTTCCAGTCTTTTTCCCATATCTCAACTGTGTGAAAAATTTTGGTGCCACCCGTCACTTTATTCCCAAACTTCGTGATACATGTATTTCATTATTATCTTATTTATTCAATACGCTTAAATGTAATGACCACTGAAAACAAAATTCAATTGTAAGAAAGTGAAATGCCTGAAAAGAAAAACAGTAACATTTAATGATTGAATTACAAGAGAAATTTAAGACGCAAAAAGAAATATAAAAAGGGGATAAGAACAAACCGCAATGCAGGAACTAAGAATTTCAAGATGAAAACTCTGAAACTAAATTAAGATTCGAGGAAAGTATATATAGTCACGCACACTCTAAAAAGGATTAAAAAGACACAAAGAAAATATAATATTGAACTGGAGTGCACGCTAAAAAAGTACAGTACAAAGAGACACACAAAATGTTTTACAGAGGACAACAAAAATTCGAAAACGAAGCCGAAAACTCAAACTGGAACGTGAAATCCAAAGCACTCCCCCCTCCATCACTTCCCATTCTGGCCAATGGCGCGCCACTGTATGGGTAGAAGCTGCTGCGCAATGCGCATGAAGATAAGCGATGCGTATTCACATATGTACAGCGTTCTGTACTGAAGCTAGCTGGAGGAACATTTGAAAACACAATTCAATCCACTAATAGCGAACGATCTGATGTTTTTGTACAATAGATATACAGCGATTCACTGTACGAAAAAGTCTCAAAAGTGTCCCCAAAACTCCTCGCTCCATCGCCCCCATATCGCCCCCTTTTCGTTGCTTCACCCCCACGTCGCCCCTTTTCATTCATTCCATCGCCCCCCTGAAAAATGAAATCGCCCCTTGGGGGGCGATATCGCCCAGGTTAAGAACCACTGTTCTAGGTGAAGAAAAAGTTTGAATTTTAAAGACAAATTAAGTTTGAAAAGATTTAGGATTAAAAGATTGAAATGTTGAGGGAAAATTAGGCTTAATAAGAATTCTGAAAAAAAAAGGATATATAGTGATTTAACTAATTTCTACAAATAGAAGTGAAATATAATCTGACTAGAAAGATGTTATTAGATGTTATGATAGATAAATAATATAGTATTTCTATAATATATGAAATATGAACATGCTGGGATGATATATTTAAAGGGAAAATTTAGATATTTAGATGTTAAATACTGGGAAAATATGATTGATAAGAATTGTTTGAATATTATGGAGAAATTGAGCTTAAACAAGATTTATGAAAATAAGATACATGGTAAATCAATAAAATGATTCTTACGAAAATAACATAAACTGGAAAAAAAAGCCATAGCAGGACGCTACTATTGTTGGTATATAGAAGAAAATGTTTTTACTTAATCATTTAAATATGGAAAATGTCAAATATTAGAAATTATATTTGTTTAATGTTATAGAAGGAGAATATAATTGGGTGAAGAGAAGATTTGGGAAATATATTTACAATTGCTACACCAGCTATGGAAATATAAAAATTAATTACTATTGTTTATTAATTATATATTTTTTCTAAAAAATTTCTGAACCAAGACAACATGCTGTACATCAGGCACTAAGGATGTTATTGTAAAAAACTAATACAACTTTTACAAAAACAAAACAAAATAAAATAAAAAGGATGGGGATCTCATTTCCCAAATTTCTGACCTAGAAACTTTAGTCTAGAGCAGTGGTGGCGAACCTATGGCACAGGTGCCAGAGGCGGCACTCAGAGCCCTCTCTGTGGACACGCATGCTGTCGCCCCAGTCCTAGACCTTCAGCTGGGTTTTATAAAACCTTTTAGCTTTAGGCCTCCACTGCCGTGTGAAAAAAAAGAAAAAAGAAAAAGAAAAAAAAAAGGTTCAATCAAGTCAATTTCAACTTCTTGCCGGGAAAAAAAAAAGATCTTGCAAAGTTGGAATTGATTGATCGAACTTTTTAGTCCTGCCCAGTCTGTTACCACTGCAGCCCCGCCTCGCCAATGGGCCCAGCCCACCCGGCTCTCGACGATGCATAAGTGGGTTTTGGGTTGCAGTTTGGGCACTTGGTCTCTAAAAGGTTCGCCATCACTGGTCTAGAGGTGTGACTTAATTCACCAAAAGCAAAACAAATGTTCTGCTGCAAACATTCTGTAAGGCAGGAACAATAAGGCTGTGAAAAGGGCCCATGGCTTACACCTATCCATCTCAGAGTGTTGGTCCATACAACACTGCTTAAAGGCTTTGTAGTCCTGCT